TGGGGGGTAAATGGGGTAGACTTGTGTTGGCGAAGGACATAGCCCGAGAATTTATGGGGATGAAGGAGGGGGAGAGGGGGTATGTTGTATGTGGGTGAGTATAGGGGTTGTGTGGGGTCAGGGTACGGTTGCTAGGCTGAGGAATATGAATTTTAAGTTCAATAATTTTAACTTTTTTCAACCACCCACGGACTGATCGTTTAGTCCTACCACAATGGCCTGTCGTGTTAATCTTGGACTACCATATTGTTTACAGGCGAGTCGATAATCAGATAGAGAGTATAGGTAGGCCAGTGTTTCAGGAATTCATTAGTTAAAAAAACGTGTCCATAAATAAAAGTCTGACAAAATGGTTTAAAATGTATGCTGGTCGACCCCAACTACGCATTTTTATTATTTGCTTTTCCTCTCTCGGTTTATTAAGATTCTGCAATTGGAAGTGTATATGGTTTTCATAGTGAAACAATTAGATATTCTATTTGTAATGTTTTAAAAGTATCTACAACGACGGAAATGTTAATGACTCCAAACAATTCGGGATATAATAGCGTAATCTTTGGCGCCAGATAATGTCGTTACGCTTGACAACAAGGCAGCGCGCTATTTTGAAGCCATTTTGAATGGGCTATCCAACAACATTTTTAACACTTTCTGCTATAATTTGGTGGGAATTGCTTACACAAATGATATAAATCGAGTAGAGAAAAAATGAATTTGCTGTTTGTATCAAAACAACCACTTATTCTACCGTTAGTGAGCTAATTGAACAGAAAATATGCGGCTTGTAGAATGGTCAAGCAGAGTTGGATTACCTGCCCTAATACCCTTCCTCTCAGCTAGATTGCGCTCTTTTGTCAAAACAAAATACCAAACTATTGAGAAGCGCCTAACGATAGATATCGCTACCGTATGAATGACGTATTCATTCTAGGAATGGAGCACAGAGAATATTTGGAAGATTTCATATGGAATGACATTACAACATGATGCATAATGGCTGACTAATCAAAAGCCGGATGAGGTGTAAATTGTCATTCTGTCTGATCAGACCAATTTGTTGTGTCCCATAAGGTGTCGGATAACACAGGTTCGTGTACTGACATAAGAAATTCGAACAGACTCCACTTTATCTGACATACCGTTCCACATGAATGACACTATAGTACTTTTACAATCCTTAAAAATTAGTAAAGCTGTAGGTAGCGACACCATTAGCCACAATATGTGGAAAATACAGCAAGTTCATTAGCTCTCCCCCTATCCCTTATATTGAGATCTTATTTGGATACTGGTATCTTTCCAAACCAGTGGAAACTAGCAGTAATGAACATGACTCTGCTAATTATTTAGACCAATAGCATTGCCTAGGTAGCAGAGTACATTAGAAAGGCTTGATCCTAAATATAAAGGGCATGTCTAAGATAAACATGGATAGCGGATTTATCCTGCACAACACACCTACATATATATATATATATTTAGGAAGCTGAATTCATCAGACTTCTTAGACCCCGCTTGAACAGTACTGTTTGATAAATATTTTATAATGTTCTAACTTCATGTTACGTGTAAGGTAGAGAGTACTACACGACTTTCGATCAACGTGTTTTATCATTTTTATTTTTGTCTATTGAAGAGAGATATTTGTAAGGTAGTGTGTCGGATCAGTAATATAATGGTTCTGGGTTCGCCCCACACAGGTAGTGTTTTTAATTTTTAATTTTTTACTTATTTTTTATTATTATTTTATTATTTTTTGTGTAAGTAATATTATTACTAGTGTATCTTAATCCTAAACAAATAGTACTCTTTGCCTTAAGACTATAATTAATATATTTATATTGCTGTGACATCGTTATGGCAGGTACTTATATGGCGGACGTCGTTATAGCGAACTATTATTTGACGTCATAGTTTATGACGTCAATACTTCAATAAACAGTCTGAAGAATCTCCTAGAAGATATGAAAGTTCTAAAGACTCTTAAGAATTTTTTCTTTACATAATATTTCTTCGTCTGTAAAGATCGTTTTTCTGATTTATAACATATATAGATATATATTTATAAACTACATTTTGTATACTATTTTTTTCGAAGAATGATTTTTTTTTCAAAAAGTGATTTCCCCAGATTTGGGACATGTGAAAACCATGGCTACCACATAAAAAACGCCAAAAATGCAAAAAAAAAATGATATTTTACCCAAAATGTGACCAACCCAAGTAGTAATTTTTTTCTGAAAACCTCTCTTAAATTGAATATCACCTTCTTGGTAACAGAAATACTCGTTCGATCCATGTGCGACATGTGTGTGAAAGTGACGATTTGCTTCTAAAATATCAGTTTGAAGTGCGCTCCGGGCGCGGGTCGCATCTTTCCCGCATATTATAGAGGGCCGGAGTTCTGTCGTGTATTGTAAGTGGAGTACCTATATTGTAAGTGGAGTACCTATATTGTAAGTGCAGTACCTATATTGTAAGTGGAGTACCCATATTGTAAGTGGAGTACCTATATTGTAAGTGGAGTACCTATATTGTAAATGCAGTACCTATATTGTAAGTGGAGTACCTATATTGTAAGTGCAGTACCTATATTGTAAGTGTAGTACCTATATTGTAAGTGTAGTACATATATTGTAAAAATTGATGAAAATTTACTCTTTCACGACTTGAACAAAATTGTGTTTTTCCCTCCACAATTCGACTCTGGAACCAGTTAAACCTTGATATAAGACACAGCGTTTCATGTACTGTTTTTTAAAGATACTCTTTGTATGCTAAATACAGTACAATTCCCTATAAATTATCTTATTGGTGATCGAAAAGTAAAATTTTACACACCAAACTGAGAACTTAACTCTAGTATACTAAACAATCACGTATCTCATGCTATTTTAATAGATGTTTAGCACTGTCAATGTGGACATCCTTTCGAAGATGTACGTTTACATATATTTTCTTTTATATTTGTAATATTTATGCGGATCAGAGAATTTAACTCTACAAATTAAATGATTTCCTTCCGCTTGACTTTCAGACTGATAATATGTTGGAAGTCGACATCGATCTGCCGCCACACCAAGGTACGTGTACTTCCAGAACATGTGACTGCAGTTATAATTTATTTAAAAATTGCGAAATGCGAAGAGTTCGTGTGCCTGATGTTTTTTTTGTAAATTTTACCACCAGAGACTTAAGTTAAAAGAACAACAAACAAAGTTATAAAATTTATACGATTTTAATTGATATGACTATACTATAATAAGATCTGCACAGCAGATCGGTAATAAAAAATATAAAAAAAAACCTAAAAAAACCTATTAACTATAAATATAAACACTCACGCCAGATAAACCCTTCCACACCAAATATAAACGTACACGCCAGATAAACCCTTACACACCAAATATGAACTTACACACCAAATATGAATTTACACGCCAGCTATAAATATATACACAAAATATAAACTTGAGATATCAACTGACACATCGAATATTACATTGCAGCCAGATATACACTTACATGCCAAGTATACACTTACACACCATTATAAACTTATAAAAGTTACATGATGACATTTAACCTACGAAGATTATACCGAGTACAACACACTGCGTGCGTTATTGCATCGGTATTTCGGACAAGCGTAACAGATGAGAGAGAGAGAGAGAGAGAGAGAGAGAGAGAGAGAGAGAGAGAGAGAGAGAGCTGTAGTAAGAGGTCAACAAATATCACCCTGAACGTCACCACACCAAGGTACTGTGGTACTATTAGAGACACGGACAAACATGCAGACAAACAGACCGACAAAAATATCAGCCATGCGCAACAGATAAGAAAGAGCTTTAGTCAAATGGCAAACGTTCTGACAGTCAAAATGATGTACGTACCACTCTGAGTGTCAACAACCACCAAGTACTGTGGTAAGCTTCTTCCTTGGACATGCACTTAAATATAGACAAACATGCGGACAGACACACACACATGAGGACAGACAGACAAACATGCAGACAGGTCAAAACAAACCTGCGGACAGACAGACACACATGAAGACAGACAGACAAACATGCAGACAGGTCAAAACAAACATGCGGACAGACAGACATGTTGGCCAATAGATAAAGAGTTGACAGAACTTTGCAATAAACATATACACTTGAATCTGACAACTGGGTATAATCTGTGTGGACAAGCACAAATTTGTCCGACAACGCCTTTAACGATATTGCCATTCCCTTCGCCCATGTTTCCTTAAAATTAAAAAAAGTCTCTATTCCGTCCAATATTGTCAGAAACATTGTCGGCGGATCAACAACTTCTTGGCCTTTTGCAAGGGATAGGAACTTCTTCCTCGTCGTCATAAGCGATTCGTCTCTTTAGGCCCCTGTGTCTGCTGTTGTTGATATACGTGTAACCACGCTTATTGTTCATAATACTGTCCAACTCTTCATCGTCCTGGGTCGTATCTAACACAATTCCAATGTCAGTCTCGGGAGTGAACTGTTGAGGATGCCAGCAGGTCGTATCCAGTGACTTGTTCAGGGAAGGTCGTTGGTCAGTCGTACACACTGTGTCCAGATTTGCTGGTTTGACCTGTACGCAAGTCCTGCATGTAGTCCGACCAGCCTCAAACCAGAATGGCGATGGTTCTTTGTAGTGGTCACTGACTTTGAGAGTGTAATCCCCCTAAAATGACGATAAGAAATATGTCAAAGATCGAATAAATGATTTTATTAAAAATTGACTAGCATTGTTCAGTTCACATGCAACTTATTTGATATATTGTGTTTTTTTCTCGTTATCAATTGGACATATTTACCCTCCCCAAGAACACTAGAATGTCATTTTGTCAAATCCTTATTCGGTTTTTATTGAGCTTAGCGACAACTAAATCCCTGGTATTTGGCGAAGTTAAAAAACATACGTAAAAGACTGGACGATAAATGTTGGAAACCGTTCAGTTGCTATTATGGCACTAAGATAGAACACAAAATGCCTACGCCATTGTTAGATTAGGCTTTAAAAACAGACTTTGTAATAGAGTATGGCTCATAAACTCACCATAAGGTCGAGGCTGTAGGCAAAATCATGGTCAGGTTCAACAACCACAACTGACCGTTTGTCGGCTTTCAAACTGTTTGAAAAATAAAACATAATTTATATATGATGCGTTATTAGTTCAATGAAATCAATTGTAAATGACTGAATAATGACTGTTAAATAGCAGATCGGCTAGTATATGACTGAGTTACAAATTCCTAAAATTCAAAATAGATAGGTTGAATTTCAAAATATTGATCGCCTGTATTCCTTGACCCTTACCAAGGAGGTTTGGTCGCTGGACAAAGGACAGTCATGTGCTTAATATCACAAGGGACGCTGTCTGGGACACTTGAAATCTCCTTAAGAGGATGGAGAGAAGTGAGGAGAGATAGTAGAAGGTAGAGTAACAAAAAGGACAGAAAGAAAGTAGACAAACATAAAATAAGTACCAGTAAGAAAAATAATAACGAATTGAAACAGAAAAGACACAATTAAAACAACGGATTGGAGAACCACAACAGATACACAAGCTAAGATATTAGGATACACTGCATTACAATACAAGACATTAGGATACACTGTATTACAATACAAGACAGAATACATTGCATTACCATTTAAAATACAAGACATTACAGTAACGAAGCTGAAGAATTCATTAAGCATCGGGAACACCTTTAAATACCTTTAAAGGTGAACAGAACGAATTCCTGGATTCATTGTAGACAGGTTTGTCATCACAGGTATGACTGGTGCTCTTGATGACGTCAGAGGTATGAACAGTCGTACGGGTATTTGTGCTATCGGAGGAGGAACGTTTCTGTAGGCAGAAAATGACATATAATACATAATATATCAGTGACAAATTTAATTCAATAAAATTTAGTTATAATGAGCCGTTTGGATTGTGAATGAAAGATGTTTCATCTCTGTGTAGTTACAGTATAAACAGAATCCTTTAATGTTTAAAAACTATTTGTATTCTTGCATTATGAACCAAACCGGATATGTACCTTTACAAATCCAGCAAGTTGAGACATGTCAGCCTTTGTTTGTGATTTGTCTGAATACTGCTGGACCTTAGAACTCTGAAAAATATACAATATGTCATTTATTTATCCACTCATTCGCTGTTTTTACAATGGAATTCGGATAAGATTGTCTGTGTAATGATATTTGAAATTAGAAAGATTATTGAACATAGAAAAGGGTACTGTATATAGATTTTGGCAGATCTCTCGTATAGAAGACAATTACCTGTTTGTTTGTCGTAGCTTCCTGACATTTGGGTTTGGACCAATGAAATCTGTCTGGAACAGATGTCGTCACAGGTTTCGGTTCCGACCAACGACAGTGATTGTTAATGACTTGGCGCTGGCAGCTATCGTTTTTCAGGACAACTTTCTGTTAATACAAATATATGTATACTGTACATTTTAGATATAAATATGTATAAATTGTGAAATCGGTTCAGGAATTCATATTTTAAATCTTTCCCGCGCCGTTACATCGAAGACTGTTTCTCCAGCGATATCGTATATGTAAGGGAGATGACCGTGTAAGTATTACCTAAATAGCAATTTTTCACAAATGTCCAAAGTCATCTATTAACCAAGGGGGGAATCTATCACCATTTTTTGAAATTAAACGTGGATGTCGTCAAGGTGACCCTATTGCCCCGTATTTATTTATTTTATGCGCAGAAGTACTAGGTATCAGAATTAGAAATAATAATAGCATTAAAGGAATAAATGTAGAAAATACACCAATATTACTATCTCAATATGCTGATGATACTTCAGTTATTCTTGACGGATCAAAAAACTCTTTAAGGGAAACATTAGGGGAATTAGACACATTTGCCAAAATTTCGGGATTGAAAATAAACACAACTAAAACTGAAGTAATTTGGATAGGAAGCAAAAAATACTGTGAGGATACTTTTTTTCCAGAGTGGAACTTGCATTGGGGGAACCATAAGTTTACTGTATTAGGGATTGATTTTCACATTGATTTACATAAAATACCAAAACTGAATTATGATAAAAAA